AGAAAAAAAGTTATTAGTTGTAAATGGATGTATATGAGAAAGGAAGATCCTTCAGAGCTCGGTGGTACAAGGTACATGGCGAGGCTAGTGGCTAAAGGGTTTGCACAAAAAGAGTGTGTGGATTACAATGAGATGTTTTCTCCGGTGGTGAAACACACTTCTATTTAGGTACTATTGAGTATTGTTGCTTATGGTGATTTTAAGCTGGAACAACTCGATGTAAAGACAGCCTTCTTGTACGGAGACTTGGATGAAGAGATCTACATGCATCAACCTGCGATCTACAAGGTTGAGGACAAGGAGAATCATATGTGTCGCTTGAGGAAGTCACTCTATGGACTGAAGCAATCTCTTCGGCAGTGGTACACGCGATTTGACTCCTTCATGCTGAAGCATGGGTTTTCCCGAAGCGATTATGATTGTTGTGTTTACATTTGAAAGCTTCGTAGAGGTGATTATATATCTCCTTTTGTATGTGGATGACATGCTTATTGCTTCGAAGAGCAGAGTGGAGATAGATAGGCTGAAATCTCAACTTGGTAAAGAGTTCGAGATGAAGGACATAGGTGCTGCAAGGAAAATACTGGGTATAGAGATTAGGAGAGAACAGGTGAATCGACGATTGTTCTTGAGTCATAAGGGCTACATAGAACGGGTGATCACGAGGTTCGGGATGCAAAGTGCTAAGTCGGTGGTGACTCTATTAGCTCCACACTTCAGGCTTTCAGGTAAACAATCTCTCACTACAGCGGAAGAGAAGGCACACATGGAGCGTGTTCTTTATACTAGTGTAATTGGCAGCTTGATGTACGCAATAGTGTGTACACGCACAGATATTTTACAGGCGGCCAATGTCGTCAGTAAATTCATGGCGAATCAGGAAAAGACTCATTGGGAAGCGGTGAAGTGGGTCCTGAGGTACTTGAAGGGTACCGTTGATACGGATCTGTGTTTTAGTAGAGATACATGTCAGATTGATGGGTTTGTGGACTTAGATTATGCGGGTGATCTAGATAGACGGCGATCTACTACTGGTTATGTATTCAGGATACATGAGGTTCCAGTTAGTTGGCGATCGATGTTACAGGCTATAGTTTCACTTTCTACTAAAGAGGCCGAGTACATGGCCATGGCGGTGGGAGTGAAGAAAGCATTGTGGTTGTGGGGTCTTCTAGACGATTTTGGGATTGAGCAGGAGAGCGTGAACTTGTAGTGCGACAGTCAGAGTGCGATTCACTTGGCGAAGAATCAAGTTCATCATGCTCGTACCAAGCATATCGATGTCAGGTACCATTTTTGTGCGAGATGTCATAGAGGAAGGTGATATTTCTCTCATGAAGGTGCACACAAATGAGAATCCAGCAGACATGTTAACCAATATGGTGATAGGTAGTAAGTTTAAGCATTGCTTGGACTTGCTTCATATCAGCCCGTATTGAATTACCCAAGAGGGCATGGCCCTTCGGGGCGGTTATAGGGTGAGGTGACGACTATATGGAGAACAATAGCAAAACTACGGTTAGTTTGATCCCGGTGGAGGGTACGTAGGCAGCCGCGGTATAGTGGCGTAGCTGGTTTGACCTAGTTTTGGCCTAGTTTGGTGTTTCAAATCTCTCTGGTGATATTCGCGGTGTTCTTCTAGTATTCGTCCAAAATTTGATGTTTATCTAGTATTCGTCCAAAATTTGATGTTTATCAAATGATGTATGAGGTGGAGAATTGTGAACGTGTGTGCCCGAGACACGTTCTGTGTCTCGCGGGGTCCACACCCACAGTCTCGCGGAGTCTTGGCAGCAGGCTTTTGTGGGGCCTAGTTTCGATTTTTTGGCCTGGATTTTTCTCCTATAAATAGGAAGAGATGTTCCTAGGGTTTGTGTGAGAAACGACAGAGGGTTCTTCGGCTGCAGAGGTGAAATAGTGGGTTTAAGCGGCGGATAAAGAGATCTACATCTGAGATCTTGAGGAGAGAAAAAAAAAAGAGCTTGGAGGGATTTTACAAGAGAGAGGACAATTTTTTTGGGGTAAAAATCAAAGCTTCTTTTTTTAGGTCGAGCTTGTAGGTTGTATAAGTCGTCGGTGTTCTCCTCATAGTGGAATCTCCCCTCCCCTTTCTCCGTGGACGTAGACAATTTTGCAGAACCACATAAATCTCGTGTCTTTATTGTTTTTATGGATGTTAGCTATTGCTTGTAGGTTCGCTCGACAAGTCAGTCCTAGAACTGATGAGAGGAAGAGTGTATATCTCACTTTGTTGAGATATTTATCTCACTTTGTTGAGATATTTCATTTCTGTTCTTGTTTCCTTCGTGAAACAGAAACATAAAGGTTGATTTGAGCTTTTGTGAAAACAAAAGCTAGGATTTTCTCTCGGGTTATATCGTTTTCGCGACGTAAGGACGTGACTCTGTGCCCAACAGAACTAAATCTACTTACTACATAAGTGACATGGGGATCCAAATCTTCTACGCTACTCTTCTCTTTCCTTCCTTTTTTTTCTTGGCCGTTACCCACCACTTTCTCGATGGAATTTTTAATCCCGTCGCTTCGCACCTTTAAATGGGGGAGATGAATGTATGATTAAAAAACTGATAAATACAGCAACAAGCTTATAGCTTAAACTTTTCTAGTCGGCTATATCAAGTTGCTTTGTTTTTTCCTCTCAACAGGTATATTCTAGCCAATATTCTATAGAAATCATATTATATGGATTTGATTTTATGTTATGTAGATTTGATTTGGTTTTACGTTAGTTACCCGCTTCTTCCAGTAATCCTTCTTTTATCTTAGCTTGGAACAGACACCATATAACAAAATTAAATCGGAGGTAACTAATGTTACCTCCCCGTTTATCCTAGCTTGAAAATCCAACATAAAGCAAATTAAACCATAGAAAACTAGTAAAATCTCACTTGAACCAGTTTTGTGATTTATGTATCCAAAAAAATTTATATTAATTGTTTGAAGTAATGCAGATCAAAATAGGAACACTTGCGCACTTAAACTTATTAAATATCTAATTTTGGTGATATAGTAGTTTAAAGAAAGCTCTTTTAAGGCCAAAATTCTAAATTTAGGGGAGTAATTAGGTCCGACTAGAAGTTAATGAGCTTTAAATAGAGGCAATAAACTATTTTTAAAGCTTAGCTATTAGCTATTGACCCAACTCTTTCACGTGATTCACTAACACGGTCTAAACTATCATCCGTGCATTCGACACAACCACCTTATCTCTCTGATAAGGCTCTATCTCTCTGATAAGGCTTGACTGAGAGTTAATGGGCATTAAATAAAGTTAGGAACTAATGTTAACCCAAAAGTTATATCTGCTAGTATTGACCCAACTCCTATTTTAAATTTATCACTCTTTCTTATTCTATCTGATGTGAGACTATACTCACGTATAAATATCCAATATATTGGATTGTTATTGAGGTCGTGTTTTGAACTATTTTGTGTCATTTTGTTTTTGGGCTTTAAATTTGGCCCAGCCACTTAAAGAGTCTTAATTATTCATGTTTAAGCATTCCAGGATTTTTCGTTTTTAAATGATTCTAGTCTTTTATTTTGAATCTGTCAGAAAGATTATTCTATTTTCGGATATTAAAGTTTTCCTATCTTGTTTTTTAACGAAAGGGCTGAAATTGAAGGGTTTACTTAATTCCTATTCTAGAACTCTTTGCACTCTAAATTTGTACAGGTCACATTAAGGTTGCAACCCCTCTTCAAACGATCGATCACTTACATTCAGCAGAACGACGAAGACTTATCAGACAAAGCACCAAATTTCGGTAACGAACACGAGTTCGCAGATATCAGATGGTACCCAGCTCAACGCAAGGTCATCTATCGAATCGACGATCGAGTGCCCATAAACACCACCGGTAACGGCCTCTACAATTTCATTGGGTTCCGTTCCACAGCAACACTAGCCACCTCTCTCATAAGAGCAACAGGTATATACACAGAAAGTTACATTGTTGCAGATAATAATACACACTGAGCTAAAATTTCTGATTTCTGGTGATATTTGGCTACAGAGGAGGCCTTGGAGGCAATAAGCAACGCAGATGGAAAGTGTGCTGATTCTCTCTTAACGAACTCTGTTACAGTGACAGCAAACTTTGGCCTGACGAATAATGGAGTCCTGTTCACAGGCTACCCAGTCATTGGTTTTCAGAACCGAATGCAATCTTCGGGTTCCTGCCTCAATAGCCTTGAGGATGGACTACTTACTGCATGCCCATGGGATCCAAGATTCAAGGGCAGTCTTTTCTTCCACCAGACAACAGTTAGCATCGGTTTGTCAAAGGTGAGGGACTTCATTCTTGATGTCCAAAAGCTTCGAGAGTTGCAACCTAAATCTCTATGCAGTGTTGAACTGTATGATGGCATCCTTATGCGATATGTTAAGTCGTCGACTGCTTATATGGGCAAACAAGAAGATTCATTGGATTTCGACATTACTTATTATAGAAGTCATGATCCCATGAGACCTAGGTTGTATGAAGATGTGCTAGAAGAGATTGAACAGATGGCGCTGTTCAAATATGGAGGCATTCCACATTGGGGTAAGAATCGGAACCTGGCATTTGATGGCGTGATTAATAAGTTTACAAAGAGAAGGGAATTTCTCAAGGTGAAGGATGCTTATGATCCTCAAGGCTTGCTCTCAAACGAGTGGACTGATCAAATTCTTGGCATCAGGGGGACGACTAGCATATTTAGAAAAGGATGCGCTCTCGAAGGGCTATGCATATGCTCAGAAGATCTACATTGTGCACCCGAGAAAGGCTATTTCTGCCGTCCAGGGAAAGTGTATACTGATGCACATGTTTGTACGCGTACAACAAAGAAATGACTCGTACAAGGAGGCTGAAAGCCGATGCACACTGTTCTTGTTCGATTTTACAACACATACATGTTTGTTTTAGATGGGTGAATGTTATATAAATCTAAATAAAATGGCAAAAGAAAAGAATGAAGAATAAGAGCCTCTTAAATTTGAGAAATTTCAAGATTCACTTTCCATTTTTCATTAGTAACATAGAGGTTAACTTCAATTACAAACATATAAAAGGAAATGGACACTCGGAAGAGTTAGAAACTTAAGAAATGAAGCCTGGCATAGTGCAAGTTTTACTTGTTCAGATTCATCCACTGGAAGGCAAAATCCGACCTGGATGCTGCAGCAAAAGTAGGACTGCTGCTGCTACTGCTATCTGAGAGCGAAACAAGAGCCTTCTGCAAAACCTCAGATGGCGAAGAGACCAGCGGGCTATCTCTGGGACTAACCTCTCGACTCCTGCAACAACTCCCCCACATCAAATCAATAAACTCAGCGTTGTTCTTATGATTACTACTGGAATGAAGAACTTCTGCCAATGGACCGCCGGGGGTAGAATTAGGGGTCAACCAGTGCAGGGATAGAGACTTGATAGCACCTTTGGTTTCATCTTCAATGGGATTCGACATTGACAAGGTTAAGGTTGAAAGAGGAAGTTTATCACTGGCGGAAACCGAGGAGTCATCAGCATGGCTGGTGGTGCCTGCGGAGATGTTCTCGCTTGACCAAGCATCGATGAATCTCCTAGGTGGCTCACTGTAATCAGCGTTGTTGGTTTCATCCAAGGAAGAGGGGTTTGGATTCAGGAATGATCTCCAGTGGTCATTGGAGTCGGTGTAGTTCAAATTGGGCAATTCTTCATAGTGCTGCATATCTGATTGCATGTCTGAAGAGTAATTTTCTGAGTAGCTTTTAGTCCAGTCTTGGCTTCTGTTGTTTTTCAGGAAAAAAATTGAAAAGAAATATGTTAATTAGCTTTAGAATTAATCAAACTCAATTAACACAACAGCAAAATCTATACTAAACATCTGTTGTCAGCTCAAGTTTAATAGGAAATACCGCAATCCACAGCCACTTGGGACTTAATTTCTACAAGTTACCGTTCAGGTCTTGAATACTATAATCAGCGATTTGTTAACACATTTGTCTAGATACACAATTCAGTATCAACATTTAGTTATGGGCCTGTAGACTACTGCGAATTAGAACGGGTCCTCATTATTTGTGAGTAGAAAAATGTGAGTCTAAATAAGACATAATGAAACACTGGACTCGGATGCCGTCCAAACCTGTCAAGCACAAAATATTTCCTCAATCATTACCGCGCATAATATTTAAAGCAAATTTACGATTTCTATTGAAACGAAAATTGACAAATAGCAAAAGTTCACGAAGAACATAGCATAGTTGTATTAGTAATCAATCACAATGACCGAGATTTATCTTGTGATGTTTATGATTGTTCAGACATTATCCCTCGCCCTCTCAATGTAGCAGCAACGGGATCCATTTTCGCTGAAAGAGAGGAGATGTTCTCTTTTTTATGTCACACGTCTCAAATAGTACTTTTAGAACAGACCTCCATGGAACTTTTTGTATTTTTTTTTTTTTTAATCTCCTTAAAACATGAAATCAAGATAGTCACGTAAACAGAGTACCTTGGCTCCACTGTCTGAAACGGTCGATTCAACTCAAACGACGCAGCGGCAGCAGGTGGCGACTTCACAACGGCAGCAGCTGCAATCTCAGCTGGAGCAACGTCAACAGTAGTATTAATACTAGGTTTGCATCTGGGTTTTCTGTGTTCCACAGGCTTTCTTGAACGAGGGCGACCCCGGTGCAAGTGTCGCTCACAGTACTTTTGATCCGGCGCGGCGTCCCTCGCGCACCTCCACTTCTTCCCGTCCGTCCTCCTGCACCTCCCTGGCTCTGGATCCGCCTTGCCCGTGAATCTCAGATTTAGCGCTCCACCTAACACTGTACTAAACCAAATTTAGACCGAGCATTTACTCACAAAATTAATAGCAAGGAAGTGAAAATTAGAGGTAAGGTTTTTTTTTTTTTCCCCTCACCGCATAGCCTCCTAAATCATCTCAATCATCAATATTATCTCGAGAATCTTAAACTTTGGGTTTCTCTACCTCAATCCCCTCTAACCGTTTAATACTTAATAATGTTCGGAGTACGTAAACCAAAACAATAAGATTTATAGGCATTTTAATAAATGAAAGAAGTGAGGATTGATGATTTGGGGTATGCAGCCCAAAAACCCAAAACTAAATTAAAAAACCACCGTCTACATTATTTTCAAGAAATGGGTATATTACATGTCCAAAAAGGTTCAATAAAATCACTCTCACATATAGCCGATAACGAAATCGTTGGTCCAATAGCAGGGTTTAATTTCTACATACGAAGATACATTGCGCCCATGGTACGAGTCCAGATACATCAAAACTTCAGAATCTATACATTTCGGTCTTTTTTTTTTTTGAGAGAGAGAAAATACATTTTCTTTAATTAGTAGATAAAAGAACTGTAGAAGGAAAAATATATTTTTTTTTCGTAATGAACGTTTAATTAAAAAAAAACAAAATTCTTCTTTACTTAGATCTAGGAATAACAGCCTACACAGCCAAAAGAACGGAACATCATTACATCCTTCAGTGATGATAAATGACGGCTTATAAGTTATCCTATTAATTATAAAGAACAAAGTTTACTTGCAAATTATTATCCTAGAAAACAATGAGAAGGAGAAAGGGTACCGGTTGCAGCTGGAGGAGAGAGAAAAATAGTCGGGGCTTCGTCGGCAAACGATATCGCAGTGGAAGACAGTAGGAGATGAGGCGGAACAGGAACAGATGCCACAAT